CTGTTTTCATTATTAATATCATGGTGGTTTTATTAAAGTTATGGCATACTATTCCCTGAACTATCAAGGATTTAAAATTGAAATCAATACAGGAATTAAGTGCTAAGCCCAGCCTTTTCAGCTTTCATTTCCTCTGCTCCATGAAATCATGTAGGGAGAATGAAAGTCATAGTTGAGCACTTTATTCAAAAACATGAGGAGACAGTGGAACAGTACAAAACTTCTGAAAGTAATCCCAAAAGATTACTATAATTTTATTCCTGCATACCTTATTTGGGGAAGTTTTTGAAGACTAAAGTAACTATTTAATATACAGGAACTTTAAAAGTGGAAAAAAATAAAAGAAGGAAAACAAAGGTATGTATTATTCTGAGATGCCAATTAATAAGGCTGAACATAAGACTGTATGTAAATTATATATGTTTATTTGTAAACTGAGGAGGAATTGGGTCTTGGATTTTTGGTTGGTTTGTTTGGGGTTTTTTTTGCCTTGATTTTGTTGTGGGGTGTTCCTATTTTTTCCAGTTAAAGGCAATATCACACAGCACTGTCAGGGCAATAGCGTTGTCTATGTTAAAAAAAAATAATCCATGTGCCTAATTTTAGATTTGCAAATTAAGACTGTGATGACAACATTTTGCTTCTAGATGCTTTAGATTTACCTGCTCCTTGGTTATGAGATGCTGTTTTATACTACTACCGAATAATTCCTCAGCATTTTTAGAGCTCAGGAGAGGTAAAGCAAATCAAGTGGAGATGTGAATTAAATATGCACAGCTGCAAGAATGATGAACTACTGTATAGATGCTTTCATTCAGGAGTCCAGTAGTCCTAAATACATTTACTTTGCAGGATTAAGCTACAACTAATTTGAACTACATAATAGTGGGATTCATACACAGTATTACCTGCTGTCTGTGCAGGGTTTATTCCTATGCCATCTAGAAAAAAAAAAAGAAAAAAGAAAAAAGAGGAGAAGATGAAACAGACATACATATTACAATTTACTACATTAAACTTGTAGCTCAAAAAATACACCAACAAGATATAACTATTACATTAAGTCTTCATGCAGCTGTTTCCTACAATCAAAAACAGTCTTTTCATGGGAGCTAACAAAAAACCTTCAGCACAGAAAAATCCAAGATATATATTTGGACAAAACTGAATTAGTGGGTTAGTATCTTCATCCCACGCATAAGAAATTTAAATAATACTACAATATTATTAAATTCAATTTGCAGTCTGTAGAGGTTGTGAAATATGAGACACTATTACTTTTATCAATATCTCTTCACTGAAATCTCAATACAAATACCATTAAAAAATATATAAACTATATTCTTACCGTTTGTTATAATGGCACTTGTTGCTGCAGGAACTTTGAACTAAAGGAAAAAAGAGTAGGACAAAATAGCATGAGACATAGCTAAGGCAGAAAGTATATACGGAATATTAAATTATAATTTTAGCTGGTTCAGGTACAAAACAAATGAGAAAAGAGTTCCTTCAGATTTACAGATATAGCTAACTTTATTTAATGGAAATAGATGACTATTTTAGTAATAATTCCACAAACATAATGGAGGTTTTTTAATAAGTACTGTGTAAAGGTACACCTGAGACATGTACCAAGCAGCCTTAACCAGTGAAGGAAAAAAAACCCAATAGAGACCTCACATTGTAAATGAGAGCATTAACACTGCCACAATAAACTGTGATAACCCTGTAAAGAACTATACATAAATAAAGACTTAAAACAACATTTCTAATATTCTACATTTCAATTTATGTTTTTTATATATAGTCTGTAGGATAAACAGAAAATAAAAAATAAGGAAAAAGTTCAATTTGCATTATCCAATTTCTCACTGCCAAATGTATATTGTGGGAATGGTTAGACTGCTACAAATGACTGTGTCCCCATATAATGATCCATTTTTCTTTCACTTTTAGCTCTGCCAATCCTGAATGGTGTACCATGAACTTCCACATGTTATATAATGTACTAGAGATGACAGAAAACCCCCCTGTTCTGTGATTCAGTTATTTCCAAGAAACAAAAAGTGAAGGAACATGTTTTGTACAATGAAAGTAATTCAGAAATTTTTACTTGGAAAAACTAACCTTTGACAAAGCACTGTGACTGACACTTAATATATAAGACGTAGCTACATCACAGCTACAGTTCTACTGTTGCAGGGATATTCTGGTTTTGATCTGGCCAAACTTCAGCACTATGAAAGATGTCTCAGTAGAAACTTGTAAGGTTTATTAGCCAGAATGTAAATCCTCTGCCCTAAGAGCTTTAGTCACTGAGAGGATAATGCACTTCCCCGGGAGATCAACAATTTTGCTCACATTTTGATCTTTTCCATATATGTTTGATACAAGGTACTGTGAAACTGGTACCTGAGTCACAACAACCTGCATAAGTTTTTGAATTGTTTACACAATTCAATGAATAAAAAACCCCATTCATATAACACAAAAATGATCTCATTTTTTTCAATGCTGATTCACAAAGGAACTTCATTCCTGGGGAAGAGCCTAGACAGTCTTTTTTACTCTGTGTTTAAAAAGCACTTTGTTTTGCCTGGCCTCATAGAGATGCAAAAAGCTTCAGTGCCAATCCAGAGTGGCCTGAGGTCAAACAGCAAAACTCCCATGAATACTCAGAATACTCACAACAATTAAAATAATGGTTTGCTAAATGTGAATATTTAACTAAATAGTCCTTCTCTAAATCCATTTCTCAGATAACCCTAGGACCAACTAACATTGTGGTTCCACAAGTAGGTAATGCTAACAGGTTCAATGGCATCTTTCCCACCAAAAGTAGACCCTCCCTCTCATTATGTCTGACTACTCAGTTCCAATCCCAGTTGTTCCAGGTCCCTCATACTCGTTTATTAGACTTTTCAGTCTAGGTCTCTGTGTATGGGTTGTGCGGGCACAATTGTATTAGTTCAGAATAAAAATAACTGGGGAAAAGAAAGCACATTAAAAAACAAATTAAAGGATCAAATATCTTTAACAGCATGTAATATTCTGTATAATGTTCTCTTCAAGTAAATTCACAACAAAACCAAGCCACAACCTACCCTCACAAGCTGTCACATAGCAGTATAACAGTAACAGCATAAGGAGACTCACGACATGGAGTCCATTATCCTTCCTAACTATTTTATTACAATTCCAGTACTTAAACAGATGAAGTTTTCAATAACCCAAGATTTCCCAGGTTTTCTTAAAAAGACAGAAGGGGAATTCCAAGAACAGACTCTCAGCTGAATCTTTTGCTGATTAGATGAAGGGAGCTCATCATGCTTTTGAGCACTCGACTTTACTGTTTACACCCAGTGAATGTCTCTTAATCTTCACATGCTGAATCTGAAACAACATGATACATCTCTTCAAATATGTTACATGGGCAATTTACACACCTAATGGTTTAGGATTCCATGTGAAAGATCTAACAGAGGTTACTGGAACTGAATGTTAAAAGAGTGTAAGAATTTCCTGAATAATTCCAAAGAATTTCCTGGATATTCTACATAAGCAATTTTTAGTATTAAGTATTCAATAGCAGTATTCTTTAATTCTCTTCACTGTCATGAATTTTTACATCACTGATATAAATCAGTTTAATTTAATTGCAAAGAAGAACAGGAAGCGTGTCAATGCCTGCTGCTGACGCGTAAATTGTGAAGAATCACTGAGTTTAGGATTCTGCAAACTTTGGCAAGACCCCAGAGGCCAGTAAAGCTTGTGTCCATCCATAACCAACTGCAGTGTTTTTTGTGCTGAATTAACCATTGTATTTTACCACTAAAAAGGCTTATTTCAAGAACGTTCAAAATGTTAAAAAAGATCGCTCTCTACTTACTTCTTCTGCAGCGAACTTCAGGACGGCAGTGAAAGGCGTGCTTTCAGGCACACTTAACCTGAAATTGCAATGCAAGTAAATACATGACGGCCAAGACAAAACAAAAGGCAACTTTATCTGCTATTAAACTGCTAATTGTAACTTCACTTTTACTAATGGCAGTGCTCTTGCCAAAGCTGTGCAAGCACTATTTAAGTGGAGAAGAGGGCCCTGGTGGGTGTGAGATGCTTCAAAAGAAGCATTTTTAGCAGAAAGTGGGAAAACGTGGGAGAGCTGTGGGAGCTCTCAGGAGGTGCAGCAGTAAGCTCTCCAGGACGAGAAGACATGGCCTCAAGCTCTTCCAGGAGAGGTTCAGGTTGGACATAGAGAAGAATTTCTTCACGCAAAGAGCTGTCAGGCATTGGAACGGGCTGCCCAGAGAGGTGGTGGAGTCACCGTCCCTGGAGGTGTTTAAGGAAAGTCTGGATGTCTTAGTGCAATGGCCTACTTGACATGATGGTGATTGGTCATAGGTCTGACACGATGATCTCAGAGGTCTTTTCCAACCTCAATGATTCTGACTGTGAAAGACGCGCAGGGCACTGATACAAAGCGGGACAGCCCCGAAAGGCGAGTTAACCACGGGACAGCGCCTGTCGTTCCATACGGAGGGAGACAAACGCCGTTCCCGCCGGCGGAATGCTCTGCCGGGATGGCCATTAGAAGCCGTCCACGTTCGCGCTGCCCCCCGGTTTCACCTCGCCCGCAGCGGCACCGGCCCGGCCCAACACTCACACTTTGTAGGGTAGCCGGGGGTCCGAGGTGAGAGTCACTTTAAAGGTAACCTTCGACCTGTGAAGAAAGCAGGGTTTAGGGATGTGTGAGTGAGCTCGGGACCCGCGCTGGCTCACCCCCGTCCCCCCGTTCCTCACTCACATGGCGCTCCCGGCACCGCCGCCGCTCCACCGACACGTCAGCGCCGCTCCGGGCCTACGCTCACCCTGGCTGCCCACAGCGCGCCTGACCACAAAAGGAAGGCAAACATGCCCCGCCGACCCTCTACGGCGCAGGGGGCGGAGGTGTTCTGCCTCGGCGCCTCGCTGGAAACGGGAGAGGGAGAGGTTGAGGGGCGGGCGAGGAGCGCCGGTGAGAGGCGGGGAGGATTTCTAATGAGGCATTGACACCGGCTGTCCGCGGCCGAGGTAGGACCCAGGCGCCGGTTCCCGGGCGTTTCCGTGGGCGTGTGTAGGGACGGCCGGGGGCAGAGGGGGCGGGAGAGAGAGGGGGGGGGCGGAGTTGTGGGCTTGGCGGCTCTGGCCGCGCGTGTCTGTATGTAATGCGGGTGAGGGGAATGGTTCTCCGTCGGGTTTGGTTACCAGAGGCCACATCTGGGAGGGTTGTGTCCAGATCCAGGCTCCTCAGTACACGAGAGACACGGAGCTCTTGGAGAGGGTCCCGCGGAGGATCACAAAAATGATGAGAGGTTTGGAGCACCTCCCATATGAGGAGAGACTGCGGGAGCTGGGCCTGTGTAGTCTAGAGATGACTGAGAGGGGATCTCATTAACGCATATAAGTATCTCAAAGGCGGATGCCAAGAGAATGGTTCCACACTCTTCACTGATGCCCAGCGACAGGACGAGGAGCAATGACCATGGACTAAAACACAAAAAGTTCCACCTCACCATGAGGAAGAACTCCTTTACATTGAGGGTAGCAAAGCACTGGAACAGGCTGCACAGGGAGGTCACAGAGTCTCCCTCTCTGGAAACATTCAAAACCCACCTGGATGTGTTCCTGTGTCACCTGCTCTAGGTGACCCTGCCCCTTGGTAGGGGGGTTGGACTGGATGATCTCCAGAGATCCCTTCCAACCATAATGATTCTGTATTGCTCTCAAACCAAAATGTTCTGTAGGTGCTCGTTGAAGTTATGCAAGGCAGGATGGATGCAAACACCAATTCTCACCCTATTAATGTTTAACACCATTCATATCTTCCGTGAGACAAGGGAGCTAGAACTGGAGTTTTGTTTGGATAGTGATGGATATTCTTACCGCAGAAAACCAGCCCGTTCCTGTTTTGTTTGTCCCTGACTTTTGACAAGCCAGTTTCTCTTAAACTCTAATAAGGTGGCATGGAACTGCAAAGTAATTTTTGTCTTTAAAGATTTTTCATCCCTTCAGACAGATGATGACCAAGTTTCCAGCTATGGGTATGTCAGTATTACCACTGTAGAAAATACTTTGCCAGACTGCTTTCATATCTTCTCCAGTCTCTCCTGTCCGCAGGAAGGACAGCTTGCACTAGAGACTGAGGTGCTAATTATCACATACTGCTTGACAGACTGGTCATGGCAAAGCATTTTGAGTGTTTGCTTTGTAATTTTTTACCTAAGGACTGGCTTGGTGCCCAGGCATGAAATCCAGCTTTTCACCCTTGTGCTGTTCTTATCTGAACATAGACAAAACTGAAAAAATATCAAAAAAGAACAAGGAGAAGAAATTCACTGGCAGCTTGTACAATGGCATTAATATTTCCCTATATCTCCTACATTTATGTTACTGTGTCTGCCTTTCATAATTGTATCAAATTGGTGGCTCATGCACATTTTGTAATCCATTAGTGATCTCACAGCTTTTTCATCCCCCAGCCTCTAAGAGATCACACCTGTAATTAGGACTAATTAATAGATGTCTCTTAGCATTTAACCTTGCATTTTGTGTAGCTAAGTGCCATCCCATACTCGTTCTTGCCCTTTTCAAAATCAGTTGGCTTTGTATGTAGGTACGATGTTTATGTCTTTGATTTATATAGCTCGTCATCTGCAGCTTTCATTAATGCATCACTGTTTTCTGTTCATGAATGCAGATGTGAAATAAAAGACTAATCCTTTTAGAACTTTATTTCTTGCCTCTCACTCTTAAGTACTTCCCCTCTGAGGAAAAAAGCATACACAAATCTTCATGTTGTTGAAGCTGGACTGCATTTAGTGCCCAGATTTACTTTGTTAAATCCAGATTAAACATATGTGTACTATAATGCTGACAATAGTCTAAATCCAGGCCTGAGTAGTTGTGCGTTCTGGCCACATGGTCTTGTCCTCTGTCAAGCAGAGGAACCAACATTTGTGACATGGTACCAAATCAGTTCAGGAAATTGATTTGGCAAAAAAACCCCAGAATTTTCCTTTTAAATGGTTTTTATCTGGTTATCTTCTGAAACCAGCAACAAAAAAGGACTTTAGGGAGAACATCTGATTGTTGGTGAGACTGCACTGCATCTTAGATCAGCTTAAGGTGCTATGGAGCTGTATCCTAAGCAGGCATCAAGAATTTGATGGTACTGTCAGGGACTAGTGGGCTGACCCTGGCTGGGCAACAAATGCCCACCAAATCTGCACTATCATTCTCCCCCTCAGCTAGGCAGGGGAGAAAAAACATAATGAAAGGCTGGTGGGTCGAGATAAGGACAGGAAGAGATCACTCACCAATTATTATCACAGGCAAGACAGACTTGACTTGAGGAAATTAGTTTATTATCAAATCAGGGTAAGGTAATGAGAAATAAGCCCAAATCTTAAAAATACGCACCCCCCCCCCCCATTCCCTTCCCTTTGGGACTGAAATTTACTACCTCTTCCTTACACAAGGAAAGGACTGCTTACACTCTTCCCCTGCTCAAGCATGGGTTACATGGGTTACCCCCCCTCACACAGGGTTACAAGTCCTGCCAACAAACCTGCTTTGATGCCTGGATCACCTTCTCTCCCTCCTTCTCCACTGACCTGGGTGTCTGCAGAGTGTATATTCTCAGTCCTCTCTGTTGTTCTTCTGTAGGTTTGGGGTTTTTTTTTACCCCTTCTTACATCTGTTATCCTAGAGGTGCTACCACTGTCACTGCTGGGCTCAGCCTTGGCCAGCAGCAGGTTCATCTTGAAGCTGGCTGGCATTGGCTCTGTTGGACATGGGGGAAGCTTTTGGCAGCTTTTCACAGAAGCCACTCCTGTAGTCCCCTCCCACCACTACCAAAACCTTACCAAGCAAACCCAATACATGGGATCAGAATCTTCTGATGTAAATTCAGGAATCCAAGTGATTTCATACCTCTCCAGTGCTGCAAATTTAGAATTTTACTATGCTGTCTAAACCTGTTTAGAAGGCCAGCAGGGTTGATTTTTTTTTTCACTGAGAATTTACAATGAATAAAGGAACAAGAATGTGCATGATTTTTCTTTCAGCTGGGAACTTGACGTCCTGCCTTGCAAACAAGCCAGGGATGGTGTAGAGGACTGTATTTCAGTGATGAGTTTATACACAACAACATTCTCCTCAACTCCAGAAAAACTAATTCATTTCCAAAAAAAGTCTGCTCTCCTTTCCCTGTGAGTGAAACCAGAGAAAAAAATAGAATTCTTTATACAATTCGTTTTCCCTACAGCTCTTAATTACCTAGACTTAAATATGTTGTGTGATAGCAATGAGACCTAAGTTTGACTTTTCTAGCTGTGTAGATGACAGAAGGAATGACAATTTCAACAACTGAGATATCTGGCAATGTATGAATGCATTTGTGCAACGAAAAGCTTTTAAGGAAAATGTAAAAAAAAAATTTCAAACCAGAAAATAACAAAAAAAAAGTCCCCCTGGATCCTGTGGATGTGACTGAGGTGAAATAAAATACCTCTGACAACTCTTTGGAGAAGTCCTTCTAGTTAATACCACAGCAAGAGAGAAAACAACTGCAGTACATAGGAGCTATGCATCCCATATGTCTGTATTCCACCTGTCTGGACCTAGTTTAATTGAGTTGAGAGAGAAAATAAAGAAAACAAATAAACAAAAAGTGAAATTTTAAAAGTACCAAAAAAAAATTACCTTACCAAGATCTATTGGTTGGTATTTAGCTGCCTGAGCAAGATGGTCACTTTTCAAAGAGTAAAATTGTTCTGGAAAGTGCATCTGTTTCTTGAAATAACTTGGAACATGTAAAATTACATTAGGGGGTAGATGGAGCTGTTTGTTTCTTGAGTAGTTACATTACAGATGGAGGCATGTTCTTACTAGACACTTTAGCCTGAATACAATTTCCCAACATTTTCTGAGTTGCCATGATAAATTACCAAGATTATTTTGCTTATATGCATCATGGGGAAAAAAAGTTCCTTGACAGCATTTTCGAACCACAACTTAGAGTACAAAGTGCTGGAGAGCTGTGTTTAAAGGAATGTTATTTAGCCTGCTTTAATTCCTCCTGCTCTGTTTCCTATTCTCCCCTCCTGTAGTCCATGTTAGATACAATATATTGCAGAACATTCAATTAGAGCTACGCTGTGATACAAAACAGGGACTTATAATTTTCCACTTATCCAACAACAGGTAAACATGACCACAGTTTGGAGTCTGGCCATAAAATTACGTTTAAGTGTTTGTATCTTTGGAAGATTTCTCCTCTGCTTCTGAAGCACACAGTGTCCCTTAAAATCTTTTAACCATCGTTATATTTCTACATACACGAGTACATGTGCTGTTTGAAGAACACCAATTTTTATACTCCCAAACAAGTGCCCATGTGGATGAAGAGGTTATTATACAAGCATCTATGGAAGTATCAAATCTGAAATGTTAAGAAAGGCAGTAAAATGTCTCCCACCTGCAAAACATGCTTTTAGCCTTGGCAGTTTTGGACTGAATGAGGCATGTTTGACTTCCAGGAATTTTTGCTGAAAAAGCACTGAATTAAGCCTTTTAGCAGCTACCCAGAAAATTAAATCTTGGCACCAGCATGCTTTTCTTCTATATTGACAAACAACGAATTAAACAAATGAGCATCACCAAGGAATGTGTTACAGGAGGGAGAGGGAGGCAGAAGACTCAGTGTTTCTCCAACCAACCATTTCCATACTGAGCACATAGATAACAGTCTGACCCTTTCTGTTCTTAGTGAGGCTGTGATTTCACCAGGTGTATCTAGCAGTGCTTACTCCCTTGAAGAAGGAGAGGTCCTGTTTTTTAGCCTCACTTCTGCCTCACTATCTGTTCCTGGTCTTCTGCCTGCTGGCTGCTCCTTGCTCTGTGGTCTGCGCTTAATGAACCTACAGTGAGTCAAATCAGGAGAAGGCATAGATGTTTCTCTGCTGGTTCAGAGCCTTGAGTCAGGGAAAGGTCTCAGTGGACACAGCAGAGGAGGCAAGGAGATCTTCCTC